ACTACTTTATCATTGATGCTGGCTCCAAGATCCTCTCGGCCGACTGGTTGCCTTCCACACCTCCGACTTTGCTCATTGAGTTCTTAGTGTACACGCGTTTGGCACGTTTGGCAGCAAGTGCTTCGGTCTCGTCTTTCGCGAAGCCGACTTTGACGCGGTGGTCGACGAGCCCACGTCCCACGACTTTACCTTGCCCAATGGGTCGCCGGCCATGTGCTTTGAGCTGCAAAAGCTCTCGGAGGAGCACGGCTGGGTCGCCCACGGTCCTCGCGGCAAGGCTGCGTCGCCGCAGATTGGCGACCGCATCGTCATCCTCGTCAACCACTCGTGCCCCGTGGTGAACCTCTCGAACGGCCTTGTCGTCAAGGGCGCGTCGCCACGCACGATCGAGCTCATCGCGCGCGGCTTGTGCCAGTAGCTCTTTCCTGACCGTGATTGCACATGTAAAACCGAGTAAAACGTTGCTTGGTCGTTTAACGCGTCGCTTCGATCGTGTGGTTGTGCTGCAGGATGAGGTTGTACACCTTGCTCTCAAACTTCTCGGACGTAATGCGCTCGCCAATGATCGCGAACGGGTTGGACATGGCGTTCACGTACAGCTTGTGCAGCTCGGCAAAGAGCTAGGTAAAGATCGTTAGCTTCGTCGTAGCCATCTACTGCCTACCACGCGCATCTCGGACTCCTTGATGGGCGCGTCTTGGACGACAACGACGAGCTTGACGAGCGTGTTGGTCACGTAGCCGTACCTACGACGACCAAACATGGGCATGGCCTCCGTTGATGGCCATCGTACACGCGGAAGTCTTCGACGGGCCCGAGGAAGCCGAGGTACATGTCGTCCTTGGAGGTTTTCACTAGTTGCATGCAGGAGCTTTGCGGTTGCGTTCAGGAGGGCCAACCTTTCTCCTCGATGATGTCGAGCGAGATGTGGACGATGTAGTGGAAGGAGAGGTCGTCGTCTTCGTCGAAGGACCGGACGAAGAGCGGGTTGTTCTACGCGGAAGCGCCATGAGGCGGAGGTCGACGACGCTTCATGGAGCCGAGTACGTTGGCGCCGACGATCGCGACGCAGCAGATCATCGCAGCCGGCAACTCGCAAGGGCAAAATGGAAGATGCGTTATAACATCAATTTGAGTTGTTCGAACGATGTTATAACACTTTGCGTTGTGTGCAAAAGGACCGTGATTCGTTGGCAATCCCGGTAAAACGACGCCTGGCACCAACTCAGGACCGCAGGAATACGCACGATGCTAAGCGAAGGGTGTCAGTACACAGTGCGGCAGCAGCTTCGACTTGTCGCCAGCCCTACTATGGACCACACGCCGATCGATTAGTAGTCGGAGGTGCATTCAGAGGTGTGGGATCTGGTCATCGATACCACATGGCGATGTGCCAGATCCATACCCTATTTCAATCAAGTCGG